TGCCTTCAGAAACTTGTGTGAGGATAATTTAGAACCTTGTATACCACATATAAATTATTATATATGAACGGCCAGTACTAGCTCTAGCATGGAGCCCATACCTTGTCAAGCATAAGACGAAGCTGGAGAAGGTTCAAAAGTATGCCTCTAGACTAGTTCCAAAACTAAGAGCCATGAGTCATGAGGGAAGTCTGCGTGAATTGCACTACACGTGGGTGGAAGACAAAAGAGTTAGGGGAGACATGACTAACACATACAAAATTCTCATGGGAATAGACAAGGTAAATAGAGAATATTTGACATGTGGAACTCGCACAAGGGGACACAGGTGGAAACTGAGCATCTAAATGAGCCACATAAACATTATAAATAACTTTGTCAGTGCCAAAGTAGTTAATAAAGGTAATGCATTAGGAAGTGATGTGGTGGAGGCTGACTCCATACAGTTTCAAATGTAAATATGATGGAGCCCAGTAGCCTCAGGAACCTGTACACCAGTTGAGAGGCCAATTATCTAATTCTTTATTCATCATTTGTAAAAAAAAATGCTCAAATTGATTAAGAGTTCTTCTATAACAAATTGTAAAAGCATTTAAATCGAAACATTACTGAATCTGCTTTAATGCAAATCACAAAACCCTAGTCCAGTGGCATAATTAGCCTAGAACCCAGCTCCTTAAAAAAACTAGCAGCACTTTTAGCCCAGGCACCAAATGTCTCTGAGGCAATGGGGACAAAATTGTAATGGTGATCAAGATCCCTGTATTTACGAGACTTGGTTGCTTTCCTGTGAGTGGCAACGCCGTCTGGATGTGCCACACTGAAGTCAACATAGGTGTTGGCTAAAGTTGAAACGCAAGTGTAGTCCCACACCAACTGTTTACCATTCTTCTAAGGGTTCACCGTGATCTCGTCTGGGCGACCAACAGGCTAGTCAGAGTTGCGGGGCATTAGGTAACGAGGTTTTCTCTCTGCTGGACAACTGGCTATGGTAAGGCTCCTCTTAATGTCATTTACCTCGCTGTGTCTTGCATGCCATTCTGTGCTTTGGCAGAACAGGTCATGCCGTCCGTACCTGTCGGCCACTGCCTCGCTGCAAATACATCTATATTCCATGTGGATTGGGGCAGCGAGTCTGAGAGCCACAACAAGTCGGAGGGCCTGCGGTGTGAGAAGCATGGTTGCTGACATTGGGGTTGCTAATAGGAAGTCACCTGCATGGGGAGCTGCTACAGCTCTCAGTCGGCCAGTGTCATGTGGTGTTGTTGCAGCTTCTAGACAGGTTGCTGCTGCTTGGTCTACAATGGGGCTATCCCAGCTGGATTGGTTGTGAGCATCAGAAGGTGGTGGTTGGAGTGCTGGTCTTGCAAGAGAGACCCATTTGATGGTGTAGTCTGTAAAGCTGGGTTCTTGTACCCCTGTCTGTTGACCTAGGTAATTAGGTAGAATTTCCTTCACCAGGTTGTCATATACTACTGAAGAGGACAGGAACGCTGGTACAGCAATTTGTGTTGCTGTGGGAACGATGAGGCTCTTATAGGAAGTCTTAGAGGAAGGGAGGCTTGTTTCCATTGTGAGTCGCTGAGAGAAAGATTAAGTTTTTTTTTTCTAATATTGATTTCAGCAAGCTGTCATACTCTTCTAATTTAGTATTATTGAACGATGGCGAACATCTAAGAAAGTAGGTCAGCCTGGGGAGGGACAAGCATCTGGTGATGAGGTAAAGTGCATCATGAGCATCGATGTCTTCAATCCTCTCATCCATCCTCTTCAGATCAGCGATCTTTTTACCAAGGACCTCGTCGATGGCCTGCCCTCCAAGAGGAGCTCCTAGGCGTGTGCTGGCCTCAGGGTTGGTTATATGGATATCAGGCAAAACACCCTTTATTCACTCTATTATGTGCTGGTTGGTGGAGGTTATTTTGCACTTAAAAGAGTTCAGGGTGAAGCCTAGACTTGCCCCCTTGCTCCTAAATTATGTCCTCCAGGAGGGAGTTTTTTTCTACCCCAGACGTGGCCACACATTTACAATGCTAACCAGCATATGTACATTTTCTTCTGTCCTTCATGGACAGGGTTAGAGATGTGTTAAACATATAGTTCAGGGGTTTATTGAACAATCAACCACAGAAGGTGATTCGGTGCTTTTAAAATGCTAAGCTAACCTACATACGTAAATACATAGATACACAGATTTACGTATGCCAGGACGGAGTCAGGGTAGCCGGATATATATATATATATATATATATATATATATATATATATATATATATATATATATATATATATATATATATATATATATATATATATATATATATATATATATATATATATATATATATATATATCATACGCACTTCTCGGCCTACTATGCAAGGCCCGATTTGCCTAATAGGCCGAGTGATTTTCTTTATTTTCAATAAATTGTTTGCAATTGCTTTTTTTAATTATTATCATTATATTATATCAAGAACATAAATTGTTGACTTAGTTATGTTAGTTTAGGTTAGGTTTAGATAGGGTAGGTTAGGTTAGGTAGGGTTGGTTAGGTTCGGTCATATATCTATGTTAGTTTTAACTCAAATTAAAAAATAATGAACTCATACATAATGAAATGGTTAGATTTATCATTTCCTAAGAAAAAATAAGGAAAAATATATAAATTCATGAAACTTGGCTTTTTAGGCAAATCCAGCCTTGCATAGTAGGCCAAATAGTGCATTCTGGCTACTAGGTACAACATATATATATATATATATATATATATATATATATATATATATATATATATATATATATATATATATATATATATATTTTTTAACTAAAAATAAAAACGGGAGGGAGTACCACCTCTGGCTGAAAAAAGGGGACCCTTAGCCTCGGAGGAAACCACACATATCGCACTAGAGGGAATGTTTAGGTCCCCTCAAACACAGTTTCTGTGTGCTTTTCTCCTACCACCCCCTTCATTTTTTTTTTGCTTTATTGTGAATTTAAAAGTTACAAGATATACATTGGTTGATACAAAAAATGCTTAGAGGTTATGGATCTCTTGAAGCTCCTCCGCTTCTGGACAGGAACCGAGGATGCAGCAGGCATTCCCCCTCTGGATCGCCACACTGAGGCGCTGAAACAAAAAACTGGAAGCCCTTGGGTCTCTGGTTACGTCAATGAGCTTGGAGCCCAATTCCTTGAGAAATCCCAAGGCACTCTTGCCCCAGGGGCCATGCGTCTCAGACGCTATGGGAACAAAGAGGTATTGACCTTCCAATCGCCTGTACTTGAGTGATTTTACTGTTTCCCTGTGGTTGGCCGCCCCACCTGCTTGATCAGCACCGAAGTGTACATAGGTGTCAGCCAGGGTGGGTACACATGTGTAGTCTCACACCAACAATTTGCCCGCTTTCCAAGGGTATATAGTGATACCATCAGGGCGAAGTGCGGGGTCATTCGGGTGGTGGGCCCCTAGGATGCGAGGTTCTCGCTCCGCTGGGCACCGAGCTGAGACGAGGCTTCTCATGATGATGTCATTGACCTCGTTGTGTCTTGCATGCCAGCCCTTTGTGCTTCCGCAATGCAACCCATATATATATATATATATATATATATATATATATATATATATATATATATATATATATATATATATATATATATATATATATATAACTGAAAACTCACACCCCAGAAGTGACTCGAACCCATACTCCCACAACTGGTATGTACAGGGACGCCTTAATCCGCTTGACCATCACGACCGGACATAAGGTCAAGCGGATTAAGGCGTCCCTGTACATACCAGTTGTGGGAGTATGGGTTCGAGTCACTTCTGGGGTGTGAGTTTTCAGTTGTATATAGTCCTGGGGACCATTCAGGCTTGTTTGCATTTGTGTTCCTCACGTGTGCCCCAAAGAATGAGGTGATTTGATAAAATGCTATGCCCAAGATTACCATCCGAGTGCCGGCGGGGAAGTGGTTCATATAGCCTCGGCTATCACTTCCTTATGTCCGGTCGTGATGGTCAAGCGGATTAAGGCGTCCCTGTACATACCAGTTGTGGGAGTATGGGTTCGAGTCACTTCTGGGGTGTGAGTTTTCAGTTGTATATAGTCCTGGGGACCATTCAGGCTTGTTTGCATATATATATATATATAAAACTGAAAACTCTACACCCCAGAAGTGACTCGAACTGCCAGCCAGGAGCACTATGCAGCTGGTGTACAAGAGGCCTTAACCATTCGACCATCAGTGACCGTACAAAAAGAGGTGCAACCCGTTCTCGCAAATTCGTAAAGTCAATATTGACTTATTAACTACGTGCATAGGTGATATACTAAACATAATAGATACCCCTTAAAAAGATTCATAGAAAACACCGACCTTACCTAACCTTGTTAGTATCTTAAGATAAGCATCTTATTGCTTCGTAATTACAATTATTACTTAACCAATACCTATTATAGGTTAGGTAATAATTGTAATTACGAAGCAATAAGATGCTTATCTTAACATACTAACAAGGTTAGGTAAGGTCGGTGTTTTCTATGAATCTTTTTATGGGTATCTATTATGTTAAGTATGTCACCTATGCACATATTTAATAAGTCAATATTGACTTATTAAATTTGCGAGAACGGGTTGAAGAGGTGATAGCCGAGGCTATTTGAACCACCTCCCCGACGACAGTTTGATGGTAATCTTGGGCATGGTTGTTTTATCAAATCACCTCTTTTTTGTGGGGCCACGTGAGCAACACAAACGCGAAGTTTTCAGTTGCATAGTGCTCCTGGCAGTACGGGTTCGAGTCACTTCTAGGGTGTGGAGTTTTCAGTTGAATATATGTCTGGCGACCATTCAGGCTTGTTCGCATATATATATATATATATATATATATATATATATATATATATATATATATATATATATATATACATATATATAATATAATGTATGTGTGTGAAGGGTATTTAAAAAGGTTAAATGCAAACATATTAAACTTCAAAACTTTATTGCAACTGAAAAAAACAAGGGCTAAACATGAATATGTTAGTTTGTTTTATATGTTTATAGATAGTTGCTTACACGACATAAACAATGCTTGTGTTGAGTTTCCAATACATTGGTGTGTGTGCTTTTTTTTCATGGCAGATGTTCTTCTTCCTGAGTGTAGCTGCCAGGTCTGTGTACCCATCACCGTAGCTAGATATAGAGGCCCATGTCTCGTGTGAACGAACACAGATGTGAACGTTCGAAAATGTATGAAAACGTGAGTGTAAATTCGTCTCTTACTAAATACAGTGACTTATACAACTATAATGGGAATCTTCAAAGTTTGTTCTAATTGTCGAAAGTCAAAACATAGCCATACTTGTCTGCATTGTCTGTAGCATCGTATTGACGGAGCTTGAAGCCTGGGAACACTTCGTGTGTGGATGATGGCGTGAAGGTGCTCCTCAGTGGTGACCTCGATGCTGACGGGAAGCCGGTAGATGCTCTAAATGATGTCGAAGGCTGAGAGCCTGGTTGACGTGCTGATGGGGTAGAATAACTCAGAACACCGAGAGTAGATGCACTTTGGGTAGATGAGGCTGATGATCCTGAAGCAGATGTGGCAAAAGAAGTTGAAGCAGCGCGAGATGGAGGAGGACCACGAGAAGTTGAAACTTCCTCAGTTTCGAAGCCGATGCCTTCACCGGCCCGGAATCGGTAAGTGCGGCGTGTGCCGTCATCGTCCACGACTGTGTAGGTGCCCTGGACATTGCCGTCGGCGTCAGCGCTCTCCGAGCGTGAGTACTGTTCGGAATCGAAGGCAAAGTTATAAGAGGCATCAGATTTGGAGTCAGCCAAGGGGTCGATGAAAGGAACCTCTCGAACCGGAACGATCCTGCCAGTAGGCTGACCTGAAGGTGCTCCAGGCACCTCGGGTCCTACAGGAATGTGAGCTCCATCGGCGATAAATCCTGTAGCAGATCCTGCCTCATACTTAATAGCTCTTTTTTGTCCATCGTCATCTGCTACGAACTCAAATTTTCCTGCTACTTTGTTATCTCTATCACCAGATTCAGCGCGTGAGTGACTGGAGGTATCGTAGGCAAAGTTGTAACTACCATCAGGCGAGAGTTGGCTGCGAGTATTGGCAGGTTCGAATGGGCGAGTACGAGTTGACGGAGAAAGTCGTGAAGATGGGGAGCTGTACGGAGTTTGTTTGGTTGTGAAAGTTGGCCGACGAGAGGCAGAGAAAGTAGGAGTGCCAGATGCAGAAGAGGTACGTGATGCCGCTGTACCAGAGGTAAAAGTTCCAGCACCAAATGTTGAAGATCCACTGTATCCTCTTTGGGAAGTTCTTGACAATGAAGCTCCGGCAGTGCGTAAACTGGGAGAACCAAACTGCCCAGCGGAGGAAAGCCTTGTTGCTGCTGGAGTAGATCCAGGAGCTGCAGGTTCTTGAGGAAGATCGTCGCCCTCGACAACGAAACCAATACCTCGACCGGCAGTGTATGAGTAGGTTCGTGTTCGACCTTCCTCATCTGTGTAGCTGTAAGAGCCTCGCACATTACCATCTGAGTCACTTTGCTCTGTTCGTGCAAGTCCGTCTTCTGAGAAACGGAATTTGTACGACGCGTCGGTGTTTGTGTCTGCGAGAGGGTCAACGAAAGGTGGTCGTGCGCGAGCCGCGGCGTGGGCAGCATCGAAGTCAGGGTGCGGAACAGGAAGATGGGCACCGCTGGGGCGGAAACCTCCCACACCGGCCTCGTACTGGAGACGGACATTATTGCCCTCGGGATCCCTGTAACCGAATTCTCCGTCTTGTTTACCGGCGTACTTGAGCTTCGTACTCTCGAAGGCTCCCTCGCCGGTATCATATCCGTACTTGTATGTTCCATCATTATGTAGAACGTAGTACTGAGACCGTCTTCCTGTGCCCACTTGAGGAATTTTGTAGGCACTTTCGTCTGGCGAACTCAGCGCGCTAACCGCTAATGCGGACAACAGCGCCTGCAAGAAGAAAAATAGTATTAGCGACCAGTTCAACCATAGGCACACAGTTTTGACTCAACATTGCAGTAGTAACTACTAACAATTGGCTTAAAATAACTAACTTGGAGTCACTCATCTTCTTAAACGGATAACTTGCATAACTATTTAGTCTAACGTATCGAAATGGACTGTTGCAGACAACAATGTTCACGTTCTGTACTTTTTTTTGTACAGGGCATGAAATACAAAGGCCAAAACCAAACTTAAAAATTCCTAGGCCTAATATAGCACATATATGTACTATATTAGGTCAAGGATAGCATATATTAAGCCAAGGTTTGCTTGGACATGATGGGTTTTGGTTCTTCACTTACATTTCCATTTCCTAGGTATGCCATTCGAGCTAAATCAGTGATTCAAAAGGAGAACTTTGGGGGGGGGGGCAACAGTCCATTTTTGCACGTTTGATCAAATAGTTACTATAAATAGTATCATTTTAGGGGGATGGGCTGAACTATGTGAGAGATAATATTTATATAAATGTCCTTGAGCCCATACTTATTATTTATACATGTATCAGAGATTCATACAAGTGGGAGAACACTATAATGCACTCGGGGTTACGGTATGATGAGAGTATGGTGCGTGCTGGAGCAAAGGTGTGCCTAATTTATTTATGTATGATGCGTATGGTGTCGCGCCTGTGTATTGTGTGTTGATTGTGATGTTTGTTCTGGCGTCGATGTGGTGTGTATAGTGTGGCGACGGTGTGTGTGGTGTGGCGACGGTGTGTATAGTGTGGTGACGGTGTGTATAGTGTGGCGACGGTGTGTATGGTGTGGTGGACGGTGTGTATGGTGTGGCGACGGTGTGTGTAGTGTGGTGACGGTGTATGGTGTGGCGACGGCGTGTATGGTGTGGTGACTGTGTGTGTTCACCTAGTTGTGCTTGCGGGGGTTGAGCTCTGCTCTTTCGGCTCGCCTCTCAACTGTCAATCAACTGTTACTAACCACTAACTAATTTTTGTTCACACACACACACACACACACACACACACACACACACACACACACACACACACACACACACACACACACACACACACACGGGACCAAAGAGCCAAAGCTCAACCCCCGCAAGCACAATTACACACACACACACACACACGGGACCAAAGAGCCAAAGCTCAACCCCCGCAAGCACAATTAGGTGAGTACACAGTAGCAGGTAACAGCTTTCTAACTCTCAGGTACCTATTTATTGCTAGGTAACAGGTGCATTTCACCTGCAACAGGTAACAGGTGAAATAAACTTTGCCCATTGTTCCTCGCCGGCGCCGGGAATCGAACCCGGGCCACAGGATTACGAGTACCGCGCGCTGTCCACTCAGCTACCAGTTCCCCCCCCCCATCCCCCGGCGGTAGCTGGCGGTGTATAGTGTGACTACGGTGTGTATGGTGCTTAGTGATGGTTGAATGTTACACAAGTATATTATTTAGGAACAGTCACACCATACTGCAGCGTGGGAATTGATCACATTCTCCACACACACACACAGCCTCAACGCTGCACGCTACACTATACAAAACACACTGAAGCACTTGGATCTGGCGAGTGTATTAGGTGGATAATGCCCTGTGTGTTGAGGGACCACCTCCAGTGTCCACTTGCGAGGTACACATCGTGTCCAGCGAGGCCGTTGTGGTGCTCCTGAAGGCTCCTCAGTGTCAAGGGTGTGGCAGATCTGCTGTGTGTTTCACGCGAATGTCGGTAATGGGGGTAAAGAGTGTATTCCTACCAAGCTAGTCCAGGAGGCCATGACTCTGGGGGTGTGGGGGTTGAGGGCGGCGGGGCGGTGCTGACGGAGTGGTGGCCGCCGTGGGTGTGCAGCCCAGGCCCTCCTGCTGGTCTTCTTATACCTCCGCTATATCCCCCCCCCCCTCCTCGCCCTCCCTCCCCGCCCACCTCCCAACCCCCGTGACATTTTCGTAGACTCCCGAAACCGTTGTGGGAGCCGCCCCCATCCCTTGCCTCGCTTGTGCAGCTGCTGCGTGACCATGACCCCTGGACAGTGTCCAGCACCCTCTGGAAGCATCCCTCGCTGGCTGGAACATCACTGGATCGCTCGAGTATTTCTCGTCTTTGAAGGCTTGCTGGAAACATTGAAGTGAAGACTCGACAACTGAAGTGTTCCTGAACCTTGAAGTCCTGGAGGGCCAGGTCCCAACTTGTACAGTAAAATAGTGGAGTCAATGATAATGTTAGGAAATGCGAAATAGAAGCATTGAAGAGTAGAAATGCCATAAGCACAATCAGAAAATACTGTGAATCAGAGGTTCACGGCTGTTCCATACCCTCTCAGCACGAATAAGACAAAATTAGACAAGTTCCTACGAGAAGTGTCGGACGAACCGTGTTATAGTGGATATGCTGACCTGCGGGCCTCTTGAAGCAACAGCCTGTTGGACCAAGTTATCACAAGTCAAGCCTGGCTCTAGGCCGGGCTCGGGGAGGAGAACTTCCAGATCATACTTCAGGTTTGATACAGGTGATACTGTCAGTGACGTCATGGATGTTAGTGGACAATACTTTCTGGGTATGAATGCTGTTGCTTATTTACACATCAAACACAAATTTGAAACACAGAAAATGTTGAGAAATGTTAAGTTTGCTGTTTATGTTCGTGTTATTGCCCTTTCGGCTGCCACTGATACATGGTACTAGAAAAATACATTTAATATGAAACTTTAATATATTCTATAAGCGACAAGGGAATGCCATAGCGAGTCTCATATGGACTAAAGAGGTATCGTGTTTCGCACCTGTGGGAGACTTGTGGTCGTTATAACAGGAGTAGTTGAGCATGTTGTCATGTGGTCTAATACCTGGTTACTGTGACCTTCTGGCCAAGGACTCTGTTGGACTGAACACTCTGAGACTCTGAGTCGTCTGCCGGGTGCGTGGATCTGATCATGGCGAGGTGTGCCTCTGGCGTGTTGTTGGTGAGCTACCTGGGTGCTCACCAGGGGTACACTGTGTGTGTGTGTGTGTGTGTGTGTGTGTGTGTGTGTGTGTGTGTGTGTGTGTGTGTGTGTGTGTGTGTGTGTGTGTGTGTGTGTGTACTCCATATTTGTGCTTTTGGGGGGTTGTCTCTTTTGGGCCTTGTCTCTTTGGTCCCGCCTCTCAACTGTCAATCAACTGGTGTACAGATTCCCGAGCCTGCTATCATATCTGACTCTATCATATCTACATTTGAAACTGTGTATGGAGTCAGCCTCCACCACATCACTGCCTAATGCATTCCATTTACTAACTACTCTGACACTGAAAAATTCTTTCGAATGTCTTTGTGGCTCATTTGGGTACTAAGTTTCTACCTGTGTCCCCTTGTTCGTGTTCCACCCGTGCTGAAAAGTTTGTCTTTGTCCACACTGTCAATTCCCCTGAGAATGTTGTTGTTGTTTCAGATTTAGCTACTCAGAACGAAGTGTCCATGTAGCACGGGCTATGGTGAGCCCGTAACCCCCCCCCCCTGAGAATTTTGTAGGTGGTTATCATGTCTCCCCTTACTTTCTGTTTTCCAGGGACGTGAGGTTCACCGTGTGTGTTTGGGTGCGTTTGCACGCGTACGAATTCGTGTAATTATGTGTGTAAAAATACGTACATTCCTCGTTATGATCTCTGGCCATACGCACGACCTTCCTACAGAAGCTTGCAGCCGTTGGTCAAAAAACTATTCCGGAAGTCATGCGCCGTCAGCGCCCGGGTCAATAGGTCACAGGGCCCGGTGCAGCGCTGGCGGGGCTCGGGGAGAATCTTTAACAAAGGGTTTCGCTGTGTAGTGAACATGGGAGACATCTCCCGTCACGCAGGGTGCAGTCGCACCTCCACAGATCTCCAGTATCATCTATTGATACTGGTAATGGCTCAAAAGGGTCTCCACTTACGGGCTATTCATGCCCGTGCCACCTTTTGGGTGGCTTAATCTTCATCAATCAATCTGTATAGTAAAACAAGGATGGACGGAAAGCCTTGTATGGTTCACCATATGTTTTCCCATAGTCGGGAACAGGCCAATTGCAGATGTCCTTCCACGAGATGCAAGCCACAATAGTTGACTAGCTCTCAGGTATCTATTCACTGTTAAATGAACAAATGTATCAGGTGACAGGAAAGATGCAAAATCGCCTCCATCCAACCTCGGTATCAAACCAGAGATCCTCTGTTGTGAAATTTAGTTGTTATTCCTGGGATATTGTTGCCCTCAGGCTGCTCAAAGGCAGTCCAAGTTGGTAATCAATTCCCTCTTTACGAGCAAAAGTCTTGGCCAACTCATCAGTTCTATCATGCATTCGGAGACTAATATGGGAAGGAATCCACAGGAGACAAACTCTGACTCCATCATTGATTATTTCAGATATAGTGAAATAATGATGGAGTCAGAGTTTGTCTCCTGTGGATTCCTTCCCATATTGGTCTCCGAATGCATGATAGAACACACAGGATGGCCACGCACCACGCAAGGATCACTACTACAGTCTGGAATTGTCTCACTTTTTCCAGAAGACCCGGGCCGTGAGCGGGGCGGGGTAGTAGGCTATACGCGGGTCTGTTTTGTTTATCACCACAACCGCATTGGAACACGTGTATCTTGTTTATTTTTATATCGGCAAATAACGAAGTGAATACCAAGGTATTGATTACATTCTTTTCTAGCCAACTGTGTCTTTGTCATGCTTAATTATGATTGCAAATCAAATTTAATATTTCGAATGGAAAACAAATTGGGGAGATTTCACAATCACACACACTCCTAAATAAAGAGGCATTTACAACACTGTACCCCGCTTACGTGAGAGCTTGTTTAAAGTAAAGTACAAGGAAACTAAAAAAGGTTCAGAGATTTTCAACGAGTCTCGTTCCGGAATTACGAGGAAGAGGGTAAGAAGAAACACTGAAAGAACTAGACCTGACAACACTGGAAAGGAGGAGAAGGAAAGGAAAGAGAAGACTTAAGAGACCTTTAAAACACTTAAGGGAATTGGTAAAGTGTAAAAAAAAAAAAGATATGCTAGAAATGAATTCAAATAGAACGAGACGGCATGAATCGAAGCCTGAGACTCAGACGAGTTAAATGAGAGCCATTAAAATGTTGTACCTTAGTGTAAGGGAAGTGGGAAAATGGAATGAACTAAGGGCAGGACTTGCAGAAGCGAACTACATTCATAATTTCAAGAGGAACATGCCAAATATTTAGACAATGTTGACACTGCAGGACCAATTCAAGGCAACTATCTTCCCATTAATTTACAAATTCACCACGTTTAACTTTACTGAACAAATCTTGTTTCACCGAATACAGTTTGCCTTCCTCAACCTCAGCGTCTTCAATCTTCTTACGTTCCTCTACTGCCTTCATCACTTTAAAATTTCTTCTCTTTTTTTTTTCCTGCATTCCCGGGTCGTACCTCTCCATTGTATTACTATTTGTTTTCAAGTAGTCTCTACACACTTTCTTTGTATGTCCTTTCTTGATACAATAGTTACATACAAAATCCTTAAATCTGCATTTTATACTGCTGTGCTTATAACCACAATGTTTACTTGGTGTCTGGTCCTTTACGACCCTAATCTCTGGTCTCTTCCTCACAAAGGCTCTTTCCAGATTCAAAATCCTCTTCAACGCTGTCCATGATGACATAGATTGTGAATCAGAATTTTGAATCACCAGGTTAGGGAAAAAATATGTAATTTTCTGCTATGAACAACTGGTCCGTCAGCCGGAAGTCAAACTGTTTTCCAAAGTTGCACTTGTTAGCCGACACTTTTAAATATAAAAATCCGCATATAACTCGTGTAAAATTTCCTGCTGCCTTTTCGTCCTCTTCTGAAAATTCATCAAATTCTTGTGATATGACGGTTTCACTACATAATGACATTTAAGCAGAGTCATCAAGACGTTTGGGCATGTTTCCTGACACTCGGTACATCTGTTCACCTACTAACAGAGGAACCTAGAGTTAGTCATCTATTGTGGGTGGCATCCTGGGTAAGGTCAATTGCTGGCCAAGACTGTGAACAGCCTGTATTAGGCTTCCCGGCACCGAGAATGGGAACAATTTAATGAACGTTATATCCTAGCGCCAGATGAGCGTAAGTTAGCCAGAGGGATTTGTCAAGGATCATTATTATTGATTATTATTATTATTATTATTTAAGACTATTACTATTATATAGTACTACGTCAGATTGCATAAGCAAGCCTTAGTGTCTAGAGTTTTCTCTTCCATCACATTTTTTTTTTCCAAATTTCTAGAAACCGGAAATATGTCAACAATTTAATACACTTTCATGTAAAAGTTGTTATTTACAAGAAACATTGAAACGGTCTTGAAGTTGTTCACCCAGAGTGTCGAAACAGCTCTGCACATTTGTCTGGCAAGGACCTTGAACACTACAGATACTTCCAACAGAAATCCCTGAAAATTACAGCCTTATCTTATCCCTAAATTCCTTAACAGTGCTTTGTCTCTCGACGTAGACAACGTATTATAAATGTCCCCACAAAAACGTGTCCTGTGGTGCCAGGTTTGTATACAGAGGAGCCGGTCTCCGGACACTTTGAAGCTCCCGGATGTATGTGAATATATATGCTCCATCACCCTTAACTTGGAGGGACACAATGGCGGAGGGGGACAATAGCGTGAGTATTTTACTTTTTATGTTTATATAATTAAGATGAACTACCGTAGTCGTGCGGAAGTTCCACACGGGATTTGAATTTTAGATAATTTTCATAGTTAAAGAAACAGCATATCCTGAACTATTTGACAGAAGACATTTTTGTGTGAACTAAATTTGAATTGTATATTTGAATCAAACTCTTATTTA